TAAAAAAACGGAGAGAAAGAAAGAGAAACCGACAAGCGGTAGAGAGAGAGAGAGAGAGAGAGAGAGAGAGAGAGAGAAGGAGAGAGAGAGAGAGAGAGAGAGAGAGAGAGAGAGAGAGAGAGAGAGAGAAACCAAAGAAACAGCAGTAAACAGAAGAAGGAAGAAGTGAGAAAAGACAACAATGGAAAACAACCAAAACATACATATATAAAAGAGAGAAAGAAAACGGTCCTTTATTTCACCCAAACGTTTCGCATTAATGCCGTCATGCTTGGACATGCACGAAATGCCATTACGTGCATGACACATAAATTACCGACACTTCTCCGCGCAGGAATTCATGTTTCATAAACCTTTGATGTTTGTAACTCATTCTTATCGGCAAATGGCACTAATTCATTCACAGCGATCACCGTTATCTTTGTCTGACTTTTTCTTACTTATTGCCATTTGATAATAAGTTGAAATCATGAATATTCATAGTAATGAAGGTATAACAATAACAATAATAATAATAATAATAATAATAATAATAATAATGATGGTAATTATAATAAAAATGATTATAATAATAATTATCATTATTATAATAATAACAATAATAATAAATAACAAATAAAATGATAACAATAATAATAATACCAATAATAATGATGATAATATGATAATAGAAAATTATAATAAATGATAGAAATAACAATGATGAATAATGATAATGATGATAATACATGATGATAATGATAATGATAATAATAATGATGATAATGATAATGATGATAATGACAATAATAATAATAGTATCATGAATTATTATAATATCATTTATTAATAATATTCATAATAATAATAATGATAACAATGATAATCAACAAAAATAATTTATTAATATCAACAACAATGATAATAGCAATAATAAATGATAACAACACTCAAAAGATAATTCAACAGATACCATAAATCATCTAATTGATAAGAAATAACATCAAATCATGAATACTATAACTAACATTACGTAATTAACGAAATATTACACGAAACAAAGAGCTCTCTCTCTCTCTCTCTCTCTCTCTCACAACATCCCTGGAATTGATGTGACGTGACTCATTGCCAAACAATGCGCTAATTACGTTAATGTGAGAGTTCAAAAGAAAAGAAAAGAAGAAAAAAAAAAGGCAGAAGGTTCAAAGAGGAATTGCTCCCGAATGTGGATATGTAGGGATGAGGATAAAGATATGGATAGGGTAGGAAGGGAGAGGGAAAAGGTGAGGGTGAGGGTGAGGGTGAGGGTGAGGGTGAGCGTGAGCGAGAGGAGAGAGAGAGAGAGAGAGAGAGAGAGAGAGAGAGAGAGAGAGAGAGAGGAGAGAGAGAGAGAAGAGAGAGAGAGAGAGAGAAGAGAGAGAGAGAAAGAGAAAGAGAAAGAGAGAGAGAAGAGAGAGAAGAGAGAGAGAGAGAGAGAGAGAGAGAGAGAGAGAGAGAGAGAGAGAGAAGAGAGAGAGAGAGAGAGAGAGAGAGAGAGAGAGAGAGAAGAGAGAGAGAGAGAGAGAGAGAGAGAGAGAGAGAGAGAGAGAGAGAGAAGAGAGAGAGAGAGAGAGAGAGAGAGAGAGAGAGAGAGAGAGAGAGAGAGAGAGAGAGAGGAGAGAGAGAGAGAGAGAGAAGAGAAGAGAGAGAAGAAGAGAGAGAGAGAGAGGAGAGAGAGAGAGAGAGAGAGAGAGAAGAGGAGAGAAAGGAGAGAAAGAGAGAAAGAGAGAGAGAGAGAGAGAGAGAGAGAAGAGAGAGAAGAGAGAGAGAAGAGAGAGAGAGAGAGAGAGAGAGAGAGAGAGAGAAGAGAAGAGAGAGAGAGTAGAAAGAGAGAGAGAAAGAGAGAAGAGAGAGAGAGAAAGAGAGAGAGAAAAAAGAGAAAGAAAGAGAGAGAGAGACAGATAAAGAACGAGAAAGAACGAGAGAGAATGCGACATGGCTAGCCATGCAGACAGACAGACACCCAAACTGAATATCAGAGACCGAAAGAGGCGAGCGACATAAGCGAGTGAGCGAGAGAGTGGGGCGAAAAGAGAGGGAGCGAGCGAGCGAGAGATCGAAAGACAGAGGAGCGGGAGCGAGCGAACGAGCGAGAGTGCGAAGAGAGAGGAGAGCGAGCGAGAGCGAGAGAGCGAAAAGAGGGAGGGAGGGAGGGAGAGAATCGGCGAGACTGGGGTACCTTTTGGGCTCCGGAAATTAACTGTAGGCTCTCTCTCAAAGGGCTTGCGTTAATGAGAAATCCGGGAAGGAAAAAAAAGGAAAAGAATATTCTCCTTAAAAAAGGGGGGGGGGGGGGGGGGGGAAAAATAATAAAAAAAATAAACAAATGATGACAAACCCTCAATGAAGAGAGCAGGTTGGGATGGATTTCAACTTATATGTATATTTATGTTATATTAATTCATCTGTCAATCTATATCTGTATGTGCGTTCGTATGTAGACGCACTTGGTTTACTTATATGTATTTCTTCCATTCTTTCT